GTATGGCCACTTTGGAAGACAGTGTGGCAGTTTCTTACAAAACTAAACATACTCTTATCATATGATCCAGCAGTCAGACCCTTTGGTATTTACCCAAAAGAGCTAAAAACTTCTATCTACACCAAAACCTGCACACACATGTTTACAGCAGCTTTATTCATAATCACCAAAACTTGGAAGCAACCAAGATATCCTTCAATAGGTGAATGAATAAATAAACCATGGTACACTCAGACAGTGGAGTACTATTCAGTGCTAAAAAGAAATGAGCTATCAAACCATGAAAATACATGATTATTAAATGCATATTATTAAGTGAAAGAAGTCGATCTGAAACGGCTACATACTGTATGATTCCAACTATATGACATTCTAGAAAAGGCAAAACTATGGAGGCAGTTAAAAGATCGGTGGTTAGGGGGAGAGATGAATAGGCAGAGCACAAAGGATTTTTAGTGAAAATACTCTGTATGATATCATAATGGTGGATATATGTCATTATACACATGTCCAAACCCATAGAATGTACAACACCAAGAGTGAACCCTAAAATAAACTATGGACTTTGGGTGATTATGATGTCATTGTAGGTTCATCCTTGGTAAAAAAAAATGTACCACTCTGGGGAGTGATGTTGTAATAGGGGAGACTATGCATATGTGGGGGCAGGGGATATATGGGAAATCTCTGTACCTTCCTCTCAATTTTGTTGTAAGCCTAAGTAGTCTTTATTTAAAAAAAGTAATTATGCTCACCACAGACATTTTAAAGAAATATGTTGCATCTCAAGAAAAAAATGTATGTATACGCATGTATATATGGTTATTATAAATTTTACTGATAAAAGGATGTGTAGCATACAATTGTAAAATAATAGTAAAACACACAACACTCTTTATTATAAATTCCATATAGCCAATTGATTTTCACAGAGTGCTTTGCTGACTTTTTCCAAGCTCTTATATCTATAGCCACACTATGGCTGCGATTGATAGAATGACATGAACGACTTCTTAGCTGAGTCGGTAATAGTTTTCGAATACTGGAATTATATTTCCTCAATTTTCCTCTTTTCACAATGTAACGGCACAATGTACAGACACAACACACTTTTAAATTTAATTCACTTTATTAACATTTTCTCCGTCACTTTCTTAAGTTTAGACAAGCAGCAAAACAATAAATCAAATGCTGATTTGTGGCATTTGCCAGTTTCCGTGGTGTAAATACTCCCACTACGGCAGATTTCAAGCTACCAACATGATTGGTGAACATGGAGTTGGGAAAAGATCCCATTTCATAATATTTCCACCATCGACACAATAGAGGTAAATAACTTCAACAGCAAAGAAAATAGTAAAATATAGTGGAATAATTAGAAAGTCATGAGTTTTGAGCATGTGTTTCGTTTTGGATATAACTTAAGTGTACGTTTATATAATTTATTTTTCAATAACGGCTGTGTTGTTGCGAAATTCCTGAAAATGTCACCACCAGCTCTTGTAAGTTGGTACATGCTGCTCCCACACGCCACAAACAGGTTTCGCGATACTTGCTTCTTCCGCAGGCCTTGCTTTAAGGCCACAGAACCCTGTGAGGTTGACAACTTCTTTGTGGTTTCACCCTAATGAGTTATGGAAGTAATAGTCAAATCGGGTCCAGCAGATTCCACAGCTATGCTGTGCCCACCTCACTACATTACCTCCCAAGAAGCAATAAATTTTGCAGCGGAAGTGAAATCTATCGTCTCGCAGACTGAAGAGCAGATAAGGACACTCTCTGGGCAGACGGTGCTAATTACACAGATGGCCACCAGATGGCGAGCACGCCAGCCTCCTCCCAGTGAAAACTGCTGTCTTCAATTTCAAGACGGAAAAGACGCGGAAGAACAGTTTGGGTCTTTCTGCGACATACAGAGAACTTTTCATAGCATTTGAGAATATTTGTGTACTTCATCAGGAAGGTAAATTGCCATCTTCCCTCTAATTTTCCATTACACAATAATACTAGTAACAGTGACATGCATGAAAAAGCCATGTACTTGAAGTGCATTAACGCATTTATTCCACACATGAATTCCCATGAAGTAGGAAGAACCATTTCTCACTTTTCCAGATGAGAAAACTCAGCCGTTCCTCAGCTCAGGTGTTTATTTCATAAATATTTATTGAGCATCTGCTATGATCCTGCCTGTACTAAGGAGAAGAATTAAGATTCAAATTTAAGAAACTCAGCTCCAAGTCTCATCTTCTTCCATTATCCCAAATACCTGAGTTGTTATGACTTTATTAAACAAGACCCCATCTGTCCCCCAAAAAAGCTGGTGGGATTTCATCTGAATTGTCATCAAAGCTGTGTGACACGTTATTTTGCCTGTTTGATACCGTTTTCTCACTTGTGGAGTCCCCGAAGTTCGCTCCTACCTCTACATTTATAGGATTTCAGTTATCTAAGCAAGGAATAAGAGAAGTTTGATGGCATAAATTATTGCTAGCAGGTATATTTGATATAGCTGAAACCCTCAGAGATTTTTGCTCCTGTTGCTGATAGCATCATACATAAAATTTTTAAAGTGAGGGGGGAATATTAAATGATGCCAGAAAAAACTCACATTATAATAAAGACACAGGACACATGCACAGTGTACCAAAAGGATGCACAGTGGTTAAGGCAACGCTCTTACCACAGCCTACAAGACCCCATGTGAGTTGGGCACCTCCCACCTCCACCTTTCCAGTAGTACCTCCCCCTTGAGCTCATCCCACCTCAGGGCCTTTGCACTTACGGCTCCCTCTTTCAGGAGTACTCTTGCCCAGATATTCACCTGGTGTGCTCTCTCACTCTCCTCAGGGCTCTGTTCTCGTCACCTATCCAGAAAGGCCTCTGGGATCTGCCTAAAAAGTAGTAGCCCCATCCTGCATCTCTCACTGTCCACGCCCCTCCTACCTTCCTCATTCCACTTCATTTTTCTTTGTAACGCTTGTATCACCTATCATCATATACTTTTATTTGTTTTCTATCTCCTGCCACTGGACTGTAAGTTACATGGGAATAGCAACTTTTCGTTTGGTATTATATTCGCCAACACCTACATCAATGGATATGTTAAAAATGAATCCATGCCTGACCCATACTATGTGCTCAATAATAAGTCAATGAATAAAAGGAAGATAGAGTCCTTTTCTAAACTCAATCACTGAAACAAACGGGATAGATATCTCTGAAACAATCAACAGAATGTTCCTATTGAATTCCAGATACTCAGTCTCATTATTGAATTTTTTTCCAGGGATTTGAATTGATCCCCAATAGATATACTGGTAGTTATGAAAAAAGCTACCTCTTAGAAAGTCAACGTCTAGCTCCAGAGGGAAAGTCATCAACATGAGCATCAGGGAGCTCTGAGGGGGAAGCCAACACATAATAAAATGAGGGGAAGTTCATCCTAAGTTTTCTAATTCGATGCCTTAAGAAAGCATCATATGGTCTAAGCTTTTTGGTAATATCATTGAAATAGCCAGAGATTTCACATTAACTAGATTGTTGCTGTTGTTGAAATACATCCTGGGTCATATTTTATGTCATTACAACTCCAAGAACATCTACGAATGCTGCTTGCCATTGGTATTTGAATTCATGCGGAGAAGTCTATCCTGTCTATTTAAAAAGTGTGCTCCAAAAACAAAATAGGGAGAATGGTAATTTTGTTCAATGAAGTCATTATTTTAAACCTGGATGAGGCCTTAAAATCATCCAGACCAGTATGTGTTGTTTTGTGTTGTGTTGTTTTTGGCCAGCTGGACCTTTCATCAAAAGAAATCTTCAGAGGAGACCCAGTGGGAAGCAGATCAAAGTGGAGGAGCCGGGGGGTTCTTCAGAGCATAGTTAAAACCACCAATTTCAGACAACCTCATTGTCTCCCAAATGAGGATACAACCACCCAGCCAGCTCTCAGTTTAGCGTTGAATCTCCTGTAAAAGGAGACATTCTCATTGACTCCTCCCACAGCCCTGCAAAACAACATTCATTACATTGCATCCATTTTTACTGATAAGTAGACATTGCTTCCTCAAGGTGGCTTTTTCTGACACCCCAGATTAACTTAAGTCTTCCATATGTTCCTTTAATATCATGCCCTTCTCTCTTTGAAATTATCATCACGTTTTTAATGATGTTTTCAACGCATGTCTACCCTCTTAGGTATAAACCCTATGGCGACAGGGACAGGGTCTCTCACCTTCCCCATTACATCCCCAGAACGCAGAACTTGGCCTGTAAACAGAACTGCGACCACCTTGAGGGGAAGGATCATGTCGTATTTGTCCTTTTATCCCCAGTGCCTGGTACTATTATGCTTAGCTCAGAGTAGCAGCTCAATAATTGTCTTTGAGTTGAACGGCATTGTGGAAATAAAACTACATAGAAAGTCAAGACAATCCTTTCCTGGCCTCATTCAGGCTTTTCTAGGGTTAGGTGGTCTTGAGCAATTGTCCTACCTAGTTTGACCTTTATTTTGTCAACCATAAGATAAAGGAATTGGATGTTGGAGTCTTCCAAAGCCCTTCTCTCTGGAAAATTCTGCGATGCTATTTTCCTCTGTTTAGAAATGTCCAATGAAGGTGTTAGGCAGGAACTTGAATTAATGAGATTACTATATATAAAGGGATGTCCATTCTAATTAGGAATCAGTGGTTAAAAGGGGACCGTAGGAGCCACACTGTATGCAGTGCAATCTTTGTTCTACCACTTACTGGGTAGCTGGAGGTGAGATGCTTAACTCCCCAGGCCTCAATTTCTTCATTATCAGAATGAAGGTGAGGTTGAATGAGATCATAGAACTAAAGTATTTAGCATGGTGCTGGCTACCTAATAAGATCTCAACAGATGTTAATTTACATCATCAAGATTATTAAAATGGGAATGATTTCCACTTAAATATATGTATAAATAGCTTGATGACATTTTCCATAAACTCACTACTGATACCTCTTATGTTTTAGGAGACAAAGCCACAAAGGGAAACAAGGTAAGAAAAGTCATAAAAATGCATTTGTTACCCACTCTTTATTTTAGAAGCACGGGAATGTTGACAATGTGGAGGCTTAGATATCACTTGCAAAATATATCCTAGAAGTTTGGTTGGAATTTGTAATTTCTATTTGTAAGCCAAAAAACTGTTAACCATTAGCTTTTCTCAGGGAACAATAAATTCACTTTCTGATTCTCTTTCCTTTTGCAGACTCCTTTACCACCTCCTCGGTAAGACACTTAAAATAGAATCTTACTTTGCTGTATACTTAAATGATTAGTGTCAGAGTTTGAAAAGTTCCAGGATTTGAAAAAGAGAAATGCAAACATTTGACATTGAAAACTAATATGAATTGGCCAATGAACGAGATTAAACAAGCCTTCATTCATCCATTTAATCATTCATTCATTCACAGTCATCTCTTTGATAGACCTTCACTCACCATCTCTTGATGAAAGCATTGCTTCCCTACCCCTTCCTCTTTCTCTTCCTCCTTTTAGTACAGAAACCTGCCAGACAGTACTGGCACTGGGAAACGTCTTTAGGGACTTGCAGTATATATGTTATATAAGTATGTATATTTATATATGTAGCACATATACAAATAGAAATATCATTATATATATATCTACATAGACAAGGAGGTGAGAGCAACAGACTTGATTTCTTAGGCTCTGAGTGAGCCGGCCACTCTGTTGTTCTACTTGAGCCCCGTGAGTACCTCCAACACAGTTCTTATTACCCTCGGTGCTAAGCTTCTCATCACTTCTCTCTCTGCCCTCCCAGAGGGGAGCATCTCTCGCCAAGGACTGTGTTTTTCCTCTCCGCATCTCCAGCATCTACCTGGATGCACTATCCGTATGCATCTACCCGTTACACTGTTACAATGTGTAACAGTGTCTGATACACGTTATAAATGGGCAAGTGAGTGAGTGAGTAAATGGGTGACTGAGGCATTCATTGACTTTCAAACATTTTCCTATTTCGGGGAGACTTGAAAAAACTCAGGTCTTCCAGTCTGTGATAAATGAAGGCTATTACCATATTTTTTTTCCAGGCCTCCTAAAACTCAAACAGGTGGCATATTGAGAAACCTAGGACACCCTGTAAAAAATTACATCACACTCTTTAGAAAACAGAACCAAACAAAAGAACATGTTGCAGGGAGGTAGACTTAGGCTCGTTAGAAGAATGACTATTCCGACATTCAAAGCTACCTGAAATGGATCGGGCTGCCCTGTGAAGTAGCGAGCACCCAGAAACTAATGTTTCCAACCCAAAGCTAGGGGACACTGAGGGCCGGGCTGTGTGAATTCCGGGTCTGAGTGGCAAACCTTCTCAGGCCCCACTGTGACTCTTCCCACAGGCCGCCCATCACTGGTCCAAAGAAGTACCAGCCCCCGCCCCCCGAGCCAGAGAGCAGCAGGCCAGCCTTCCCTCAGAGGCACACCTTTCCCGAAGCCCAGAGAGAGCCCAGGTGAGAGACTTGTTGCTGCTGCTGGTGAAATGACCAGGGAGAGTGCTGGAGGGGGCGGGGGGGGGGGCACAAGGACAACCAAACTGGTCACCTCTCTGCACGGCTCCCTAATAGGGTGGGGAGGAGCCAATTATACCTCCAGGAAAACAGTCTTAGAAACCTGTAGTTGGATTGTTTGTGGAAAATACAGCTTCTTTGTAATAAAACGAGTTATTGAAAGAATGGCTCACTTGAGATCTGAATTAGTTATTAAAGAAAATTCTAAATACCAGAAGAGAATCAGGACTTTTCATTTAAAACTGAAAGGGGGTTCAGACTATTCCAGGACCCATATCGGCCCCCAGCTTCTCATCACCCAGGCTGCAGGAATACAACGGCGCATGAAAACCCATTTGTCAAACACATGACAGCCTTTTTGACAAAAATTAAAAACCAACCCTCTGGTATTAAGTGCTGACGACGGAGCCCCACCCCCAAACGTGGGGGGCATTTGGCAACCAGCTCCAATCACAAAATGTGACAAACCTGAGTGGGCATATTTTTTCTCCAAGAGAGATTGAATTCCCCAAATTACCTTATTTTAGAAGTCAGAACAGAGATTAGTATTTTCCTCTTGTTCCTGCTCAGAACAAATGATGCTTTCTTACTGCAAGCTTGAATCAGCAGGTTGGGACACTAGGCATTACTTTGTTAGTAAGTATTTCTCATGGCTACAGAAATTCAAAGTATCAGGCACATTTTGAGATTTTACAGAAAACCCATTTATCGCTGGTTCTGATGGGGAACGTTGAAGAGCCTAAAATGCCGTTTCTCACTCTTAATTTTCTGGTGAAAGTCTCTTCGTCTTTTCATCCTTCACAGCCCCACACAAACATAAGTCTTCCATGTAGCAGCCTCCTCCTCTGCTCTCTCATGCCCCTCCCTCCTGGCCCCTTCTCAACCCGCACAGCAGTGTGGGGAGTTCTCAAGTCTCCATGCAAACTGCCCAGTTTGAAATTTAGGTCCTCCTCCTTATGAACTGGCAGATTTGGGGCAGGGTTCTCAACTGGGGGTGACTTTGCCCTCAGGGGAGTAACAGTGTCTGGAGGCATTTTTGGTTGTGACAACTTGGGTGGGGGGCATTCTACCGGCATCTAGTGGGCAGACGCCAGGGATGCTGCTAAAATCCTACAGGGCACAGGACAGCCCTCACCGCAAAGAATAATGAGACCTAAAAGGTCAATCATGCAGAGGTTAAAAAATTCTCCCTTAGGGAAATTACTAAATTTCTCCAAGGTTTTTCTCAGCGGTCAAGTGAGGGTACTAGTAACAACTCCACCTACCTTGTGGGCTAATGTGAGAATTGTGCTGGCCTAGCACATATTTATAACCAACACTTAGTGCACTCTGATTACCTTGAGCTCTTTTCTACTGGCGCCTTTGCCACCCCAAATAATATATTTGGATACAAGTCTATCTCTTCCACTCCAAAAGGAGGGACTCAATCATTTTGGTATACGTGTCTCCTGGCACTGTGCCTGACACATAATAGATGTTTGATGAATATTTTATTTCCCTCTGCAGCTTCCAAACGGTTCTAGCCAGACTAGGAGTCACCAAATGTGTTCTGTTCTGATTTCTCTTTTCAAAGAGCGAGAGACTGGGAGGGAACAACAATGATAGACCATCAAATCCACGAAGTGGTGTCATCAGAACTAGAAATGGAAGACATAACGTTCCTAAAACTCCTGATCAAGTAGTCTAATGTGTTCAGAACTGGTCAAAACTCAGAGAAGCAGGGAGACAGAAAATAGGATGAAAAAAAATATCAAAGTTGATGAGGTTGTTTAATATGGAGAAAAGAGGATTTTATCTTCTGTTTCTTCCTGCTGGAAAGAACAGGATGCTGGGACTTAGTGGAACTGGGTTTGCTCCCAGTTGAACCTCTTGTGGCCTTATGATTTCAGAAAGCTCTTAAACAGTTCTGAGTCCTGCTTTCCTTATGTGTAAAAACAAAATAACCATCCCCATGTGGTAAAATTGTGGTGAGGAGGTATGCAGTTTTTCTCAAGTGCCTAGGATAATATCTGTCACAGCACAGGAAAGAAGAAAGAAAAACACTTAGCATCTCCCATCTGTCCTCAGCAGAATTAGGTACTCATAACCCTATTTTTTCTTGAAATAGAGGCTATATATTCTAATGCAATGTTTCTCATCCTGGTCTTTACATTAAAAGAATTAGGAAACCTTTTTAAAAAGTACTATTCCCCAGTATCTGTTTTAATTGTTCTGAGAGGTGGGACCCAGGCATCACAATTTTTTAAAGTTCCCCCAGATGAATCTGGTGTGCAGGCAGGGCTAAGAACCCAGAGGCAACCAGGTTCTAGGAATAGATCTGCCACTAAAGCTTGGAGGGTTCTTAGGCCTTACCTGTCTGTGCCTGAACCTCTAACGTCTAGGATAATGCCCCTTGATCTCCAGCTGAGTCCCTCTGCAGTCTGCACCACACGAGTCTCTTGTGCAGCGAGCCTAGCGGAGTTGGGATCTTGAGAAGTTTGCATTTCATGTCTCCGGGGTCTCTGTAGTTAGCGTTTACATGTGTTTAATCATTTTTAGATGTGATGAGTATTGTGCTGCGTCTTTTCATTGCAATCACCTCCAGAGAGTAATCACCTCTCATCTCATGGAATCCTTCAGCAGCCCTGCAAGCATAGTTTTATAAAGTATGGTATTCTAAGGCTTGGAAGGCTAAAGTGCCCAGCCCAGGGATGGCACATAGTAGGTGCCTAGTAAAACCACTTCCCTACCCATCAGACACATAAGGTCACTAAGATTCAGAGAAGTTAGGTGACTTGGTCAAAGTTATAGGGTTGGTATGTGACTATTGAATGGGAATGCCACCACGAATAAGAAAAGTTTTGCTCTAGGAAGACAGCTTTCACGTTCATTTTTAGTCGGCCCCGTATAGGTAGTCAGATGGCCATTACTAATGACCCAAGTCACATGTAAACAACCACCCGAGGCTGTTGCTAGGTTCACTTTCTCTGAAAACAGAAGGAACCCAGGAGATCTGGGCTTCTTCAGCCAACACTGGAATAATGGTGTCTGCTCCTTTCCTAACAGCTGCTCTGCAGGCACCGGGAGATGAATTGCCCTCCCTAAAGGGAGGCTGTGATTTACATCTGGCAGTCAACTGCATCAATTGAAGGCGGCCGACAGCTGCAGCCCTTTACAATTGGCTGTGCTCACCCGGGACGGTGGCTGTGCTTCCTGCTATTGTGTTTCAGCCCCCATTTGTCTCCACCAGCTCTGCCATTCTCTGTTTTAAAGCTAAGTCTTGGCTTCACAAAACAATTGCTGACTCGAAGCACTTCAGTTAGGGAAAATGCCACTTAGATCATTCACTGACATCTCAAAACTAGCAGACAACGCTGATGTTTGGGGAATGTCGTTTGGACGTTCTCAACCTTTTATATATCATTATTATGATTTTTACAATATCCACATAATGTTTTTTGCTCGCCTGATTTTTTTACTTAAGTAAATTTATTTAAAAGCGAAAGATAACATTACCATAAGTAATTGCAACACAGACAGTTTCAGGCCAAACTTTGAGCCCAGGGAATTTTCTCTCTGTTAAAAGGGAAGAGAAGTAAATGTTACATTGGTGTTATGGATGTGCTAACAGCCACATCGAGACTTTCTCCTTGGCATAATGAGAAAGAGATAAAAAAAGGAGTAACGGGGCCGGCCTAGTGGCGTAGTGGTTAAATTCACACGCTCCGCTTTGGCAGTCCAGGGTTTGCAGGTTCGGATCCCAGGCACAGACCTATGCACTGCTTGTCAAGCCATGCTGTGGCACGCATCCCATATAGAGGAAGATGAGCACATATGTTAGCCCAGGGCCAGTCTTCCTCAGCAAAAAGAGGAGGATTGGCAACAGATGTTAGCTCAGGGCTAATCTTCCTCACCAAAAAAAAAAAAAAAGGAATAACTTTCCAACTACTCATCCATTGTTTTAATACCATGTCACATGCACCAGATAAAATCACCCTGAGCAATCATGATTGATGTTTGCTGAGCTCCAGCTACACACTGGGCCCACTTTGGAGTCTTTTGGATGCATTCACTCATTTTGCCCCACAGCAGTTCTGTGAGGAAAGCAGTATTACAATCCCCAGTTGGCTAATGAGGACACAGAAATGTAGAGAGGTCATTGAGCCACGACAGTTCCTTTATGCTTCAGCAAACTCAGTGTTCAGCCAAAGTGCAGGGTTCAGCCAAAATATAGTTTACATAAAGGGCCTGATATTTAACTAACAAAACACCCATTTGCCTAACTATGCTTTTTCCTTTTCAACCAGGGATGCTGGCACCACATCAGTTCAAGACAGCTCAGTGGCAAAAATGTATATTGTGAGGATTTGGGAAGTGAAAAAAAAATCTTTATAGATATCAAGAAACCATGATCCTTTAAAAGAGAGAAAGTATGGATTACAAAGAAGATATACAAATTTGCATTTACGAATGGAAACTATTGATTTTCATGTGTGAACTTTATTATTACTCTAGTTTTGCAGAATGTTGCCATTGGGGAAAACTGGGTAAAGAGCATCTGGGATATCTCTGTACTATTTCTTACAACTGCGTGAGAACTACAATTATCTCAGAACAAAAAGCTTAATTTAACAAAACTGTTAGCAGATGGAAGGTGTTCTTTTATTCCAAATAGCTTTCACATATATTATTTCATGAGAACCTTAATCAACCCTCTTCATTACTGTCTGGATTTACCCAGTTTACAGGTGGAAAAACTAAACTTCAGAGAAAGAATTTCACTGATCGAGAGTGACAGAGCTCATAGATGACACAGCAAGGATTCAAATCCAATTCATTTAAAACTAAGCCAAAAACTAAGGGAGGCTCGAGAGGGGCTATTTTTATAGTAAAAGGTATTATCCTCAAATACACACTGAGTTCCTATTATGCACGGGAAGGGATGTGGGAAAACTTATTTTCTGCAGTCAATGACCATGTTTTATTGGCCTTCTCCAGCAACAGAATGTGGGGAAACTTGTAAGCTGAAAGATGCTTTCAGAGAGGCAATGTGGTGCTGTGGGGGGGAGGCCAGAGTCCCCACCCTTTTCTGCCATTTTGTAACTTTATGCAGATCCGTCTTCAGAATCTCATTTAAGAGACCACCCCCCCCCCCAAAGCTCAATGCCTTCATTTCACAGGAGAAACTGACTTATGGCGTCTTGTCAACCTGGGCATTTCTGTGCTCGAAGATGCTTGTCGTGCACAGAAAGGGCTTCCTGCAATTACTTGGATTCTCATTTACCAATTCCAAAGCCTAGATTTCCTGAAAGCTCAATTTCCATCTGTAAAGTATATTGTTCTACTTATAAATCGAGTGATTTTATCTAAACAGAAAAACAGTCATTCTGCTTGTCACATTAGGTAGGGTAAGGAATCTCAGACAATAAGCCTCATTGAAAAACTCAGTTAAATCTCCTTAAATATTTGAAATATCTTTATACAGTTAACTTACTTGATTTTTAAGTATTTCCAATGCTGGCAGGGAAGGTCTAAACTCTTAACAAGCAAAACTTTCTTCAATAGTTTTTGTAAATCTAATAAGGTAAATGTATAAATATAGAAAAATTCAAGGTCTCTTAAACAGTTTACAAATGGAGTCAAACATAGCTTGACTCTGGTAACTTAAAGTCAACAAGTCTAAAATCAATTACACGTTTTAAATTGAAACCACATGGCCCATCTCTCGGTAATTCCTAAGATGCCAGAGTCTCTTAAACATTGAAAACACTGAGATTAGCCTCAATTTAACCCCCAAATAATTAATACTATGGGTGTCTATTTTATTACTTCTAATCAGATCCTTTTATCTTCTCACTTGCCCTATTAAAAGGGGGAAGCAGGATGCAAATGTACTGTCTCAGATGAGCTGACGAAACAAGTTAAGAAATATGGGACCTTGGCACACTTGCCTATTGCTTGGAGGTGAGACCAGAATATGGCATCTGAGCGCCATCTGCTCTGGGATCATCTTACCTGATGCAGACAGACCTTTCTTTATAACCTAGGTCAACAGCCTTCAGCTAAGACTGGTATCACAGCCTTAATCTTCCGGCATTTCTTCAGTTCCAGTCTTTTCACCAACAGACCCGGATAGACAGAATGTGCCTGTCACCTCCACTCCCTCCATAGTCTCCTTGTCTGACTTGGACCACTTTCTAACAATGGTGTCCACTGAACACCCAACCTTTTATTTTTTTCTCTAGCAATTCTCACAATAACTCTCTAAGATGAATACCCTTGTGGCCATTGTACAGATGAGAAAAATGAGGTTTAGAGAGGTTAATTGACTTAATATAAGTGAAAGGCTTAGAGCTTATTCTGAGACCTGTCCAATGTCCACATTATCAGATTCCATGCTGAATTCTTTTGCTCTTGTTCAGTTCATGTTTTTTGTCTCAGATCTTCTTTCATGATCAGCATCCTTTCTCTCACATGCGCCTTCCTGGGATCCCACTGTAGCTGACGACTTCATATTTAAATCTCTTTACATTTCCTCAAAGCAAAAAACTAAGAGCTTAAAAATCAAGGTAATAATAGCGGTTCTGACTGTGCTAACAAAACTTGACACAGAAAACCAAATGTCGGGAGAAATGATGTTATTTAAATTCTCCTAAAATGAGAAGCAAGTTTATTCACATCCTTTCTGTCACCACCTTTTACATGGACCTGTATCTTCTTCTTTTGCTTAGAAAATTATGAGAAAAATAACCTGGCTTTAGTTTTATAGAACAGTAATAAATATCACACTGGACTATGGGCTGTTAATTTGGCAATGAAAATGTAATCAAATGTTTTTAAGGGCTCGGGTGACTTTATCTTGACCATTATGAACTGTATTTTATGTGACACCATATTTCTTTGCCTTGCAGACAGATAAGCTTGAAGAACTTAAGTGAGGTAAGTAGCAGTTTTGTCCTAGGAAACAAAGAAGGGAATTTTTGTGCATTAAGGTCTGCAGTGGGCAAGATACTATTGGCTTCAGATACTTATCATGCTGAATTATCATAATAGCTGTGCACAAACTGTATTATCCCTATTTTAAAGGAGAGAAAACTAAAGCAAAACAAGGTTGGGATTTTAAACCAAGGTTCTATCGTGTTGCCGTGTTCAGTGTTTACTGGTACAATGAAGAGAAGAGCACGCCCATGAAAGCTGTAGTCTCCACTGACGGCTTCCAGCCTCCAGCATTACAGAAATAGAATGTGGGAAATTGTATTGTCCCTTGCTATTTGTTCTTTACAAGAAAGATAGAACCGCAAAGTAGAAGAAATGTGAGATACAGGGTCACACAGACCTGGGTTTGAATCCTGCTCTGCCACCTACTACTTTGTGAACTTTGGCAAGCCCCCCACCCCCACCCCACCCCAACTTCAGTTTTCCGGGCCATAAAATAGAGATGAGTACACTCAACTTTGCAAAGTTGTGATAAAGTCAAAGTCAGTCAAAGTAAACACATAAATGACCAGGTGAGTGGGAGAGGCTCAATTAATGGCATGAAAATCAGGAAAGAGGGAGCTCTCTTAAGCCCCCATTGGTGTTTAGTTCCTTAAGCCCCCAAAGAGAAAATTCCTTAAGAAGATGGCAGGTCCACTAGAACTGATGGAAAGTCTCTGTCCAACAACACAAGTGGCCTCACCTCTCTCCCACTGGCCTCCTGGGATTTGGTTCTTGTCTTGGTAGTTGACCTATGCTCCTTCTATCTAGACTACAGGGTTGATTTCTTTTCTTTCTTTCTTTCTTTTTTGGCCTTATGAGAATGCTAAAATCAAAAGTCCTATTTCTAGCTTGTCACTTAAACAAGACATTTATTACCTCTAGTCCATAAGACAATCATGTCAAGGAGGATAACACATGACTGCTGAATGAGAGGGCCAATGCTGGTTCCATTCAGGACTTCACCCTGCTCACCTTCTTCTGGGAGTTGTTGGACTTTCCAGGTGTCACCAGAAAGGAGAAAGTTGGGGGTGATATTCTGCTGCTGGAGGAACCCACACATCTAAAGGGATTCCATGCCTTTCTTCCTGTGGGTCGAATTTATGTGACCCACATATAAGATGGCTGCCACTCAAGAGGAGTGGCATAGTCCATAACTCATTTGTCAGTCTGAAAGAACAATAGGCTCCCCAATCACCAACAAGCAAGAAGGAAATGGGGAGGTCAGTCTTAGACAGCAGGGATCATGCAGGACTGTTTGTTTTCCTTGCAACTTTGGTTGGCATTCTGCTAGAAGTTGATGTCATCTAAAGAACAACAAGGCCTAGTGGAAAAACACATTCTTCCTCCTTATCTTTTGCCAAGACATTTCCCCACTGTTTATCTGGGCTGAGAGTCAAGGCCATTTCTCCACCACAAAGCCCATCTCATAGGGCAACTGCCATGCTTGTGTGTGTTAAGTGCTTGCTCTACTTTATCTTGTGGACCAGAATCCAGTCCAGCAGAAATGATGTGCTACCCGCCCCACTCAATTCACATAGCACTTTATAGTTTTCAAGGAAAGTAGAGACTCGCTGTCCCGTTTAATTCTCCTAAAACCTTAAGAGAAAAAGAGGCAGCAGGACTTGCACAGTCCCCGCAGCTGGCAGAGGATAGGGCCAGCCTGGAAAGCCCCAAGTCCAGGTCTACTCCCATGCCTATGACTCTCTGCCTTAGAAAATACAGAGACACCTCTGAGCCAAAATGGTGAGAAAAAGGAGAAGGAAGAAAGGAGAGCAGGAGAGGAGAATGGGAGGACGGGAGGGAAGGAGAGTGGAAAATAGTAAAGAAGATGTTACTATTTAACTTGAATGTGTTTATTTTCTAATTAAAAAAAAATTTAAGAAACTAGAGAGATTTCACTCCACTTTTCTAATTACATTTGATTTTAAATTCAGAGGCCTCAAGCAAAAAGTAGGCTGAGTCTTGGTGAAATAAAACAACTGCTTTCCCAGATGGATGGCTTCTCTGCCCTATTTACAGCTCTACTCCCTTCCTTTGACAAGCCTGAGAACCACAGCCCATCTGATTGAGCACTTTGAACTGCCAGGTTCAAAGTCCTGGGGAAGACTTTCAAACCACTCATTAGAATGGATTCATTACCCTTTTTCTTAGCCTATAGATTTGCCTTGATTTGCTGTCCGTGATGAAATGTATGTAGTCTTTGCAGAACCCTAGGGGGACGCCAAGGTCTTTGAAACAAAAGGGCTTGTCTGTTGGCTAGCTTCAGACAAGTGTACGATGCCTCTCTAAGCTATTTATTGCTAAAGATTTCTTATCTATGAAGCAAATGTGAGTCAGGAGACCTGGGCTCCAGGGCCAGTTCAGCCACAAGATAACTGTTGGAATCTGGATAAATGCACCACCTCTTTGGACCTCATCTGCAAACTACTGGCTTTAACTTTTCATGGACCTCAGACTCCTTTGAAAATTTGATAAAAGGTGTAATAAACTTTCCTCATCCCAGAAAAAAAAATGCACATTAAAGGAAAAAAATTAGCTTTTAATTTAAGAAGGTTCATGGACCCCACTAGGCCATCCAAGGTCCTCTTCCATCTCCCACGTTAAGAAGCTCTTGTCTAAATGATACCCGAGGTCCTGCCCAGCTGATGCAATGCATGAAATGGACTTTAGAAAATTATTTGCAGTTAAGTAAACTTAACTTCAGCAAATACTGTACCTCTTGTAAGGCATTTTGCTTCTTCAAGAGTAGAGTAGGGCCCAAGGATACAAGTCTGATAAGCACATAGATATTCATAATGAAGGGTCATCAGGAATTCTACTACTATTAAGAAAAGAAAGAGAAAGGAAATGTTTGGGAAGATAAATGGCTATATTTTAAAAAAATAATGTGAATATTTTCATGCTCATTTTTTAAAATAAAAATTTCACAAGTATAAAGAAAGAAAATTAACCATAGCCTCATCACTTAAACCTATCTCTATTAACATTTTATCATATCTCTTCAAATCTTTTTTTCTACACATGCACACACACACACACACACACACACACTCACACCTGCATGTAAATATATCACGAGCCCAGTTTTTATTCTGAACTTTTAATGGAACATTGAGACATCCTTATAGAATAGTCTTATTCCATACTCTACATCAATATTACAGTGCATTTGTAATATTCCAAAAAGTGAGTATAGCACCAAAAATTACTTAACAGCTCTCACTAGATGGGTACGTGGATTGTTTCCAGTGTTTTGACACTATAAGTAATGATGTACCAGACATCTTTGTACATGGAACTTGTCCTGATTTCAGGTTGCTTTCATAGCAGAAGAGTTTCATCAATGGAATTACTGGGAAAAGAAGAAGAGTATTTCTGCGGCTCTTGATAGCTATGTTTACTCTTGATAGCTATGGTTAGATTGCTTTCCAGCAGAGTCAGAGCAATTTACAGTCCCATCAGCAGACGATATACTTGCCGGTTACTTCACACACAGAGTATAAAATTTTGATTTTTGCTTAGTCTTTTGGAAAGTTATTTGTAGATTTTTTAAAAATCTAAACTAACAAAAATTTTGCCCGAACTCTGCTAACCAATTACTCCAAAAACACACATAGTTTAATGTAAAATTCTCTATCACCAAGAGTCATTCATTGTTATCATTATTTTTCTTAATACAGGTCCTTGGAACAGAGAAAGGTAAACTGTTTAAATTTGTTTTCTTGGCCTAATATCATTAGGTTAAGTTCTGTTTCCAGATGCATAATGTTAGTCATTTTTTAAAAGGATCGATAGTTTCAGAGCATGAGTTGTATGTGCACGTGTGTGTGCATGGCGTGATCCAGATGGATCCAGGACCTCATAGTCTCTTCAAGAGTCCTCCGGTCTAAACAGGGTGATTTAAATTAGGGGTGGGCTAGAGGTCTTTCTTCAGCCACAGGCTATTGACAAGAAGGAGGCACATTGTCACCCCCCGCCACTTTGGAAAGATGTTGCTGGGCCACTGCTCCAGAGAATCTCCTGGTCTCTCCATCTTTGATGTCATCCAGGTGCACACACATGTGCGCTCAAGCATGCATGCACACACACCACACACGTGTGCACACTGTTGGTATCACTGTTGTAGAAGCATGCAATCCAACACTCACTCGCTAGCTGGCAGGATGCTAAGCAGGTAATACCTTCATGCCCACCTTTGAAATGCTGTTTACCATTCACTTAGAATGATGAATTATGTCCAGAGCCCAACAGCCTGAGCTATGGCCCAAGGAGTTGACACAGGCAACGTAGCTCCACAAAGCAGCATCAGGTTAGGATTTCAGAGGCCTGCTACCAACTCAGTGTGTGATTTTGACCAAGTCGTATTGCCTCTGTGAGTCCCAAATCTGCTATTCTTTATTTTGAGGAAGTTAGACTTGAGTGAGGCCTAAGCAGGCTTGTGGATTCCCAAAGGTCCCTGATGGAGGAGTGGGGGTCTGTTGGCAATTCTGAATAATTTTAAAACCTAAAGAAGACTGCTCTTTTCCACACTAAAGCTCAACATCCTAATTAAAATGTTCAGATGTTGTTGCATCGGACTTCAATGATTATCAACACAACAATGTGACATTGTTCAGTTCATGAAGGGCAGATGCTCTGCGTGGCTGTTGATGACATAAAACGATTTTATGGGATGTGTGACTAGTAGACCAGTCACTGACTCCAATCACATTTCAAGTAATCACAGTCCTTCAATCACAGCTGTCCAGTTTGTGATCAGTCTTGGAAAGAGCACAGAGTAACAACAAAAATTAAGACACATCGATGTCTATATGCTTCCTTAGCTCTATTACTTACAACCACTACTGGGAGAGTGTTTTATGAGATTTCATATCATTGTATTATTATGTGCCCTTGATAATTCTGGATGGCTGGTTAAAATCTATCCAAGATGAAAAGGAAATAAAAAGTGGTAACACCAATGGCATATGTAATTACCAAATAACTCCAGGTCATATGGTTGGCAGAACTTTTCAAAACTTGAATATCAAAGGGGAAAAATTGAGAAAATGCATTCCTTGTGGTAACCAGGTGGGAACTGATGGTCTACATCAGAATCCTAGGAACTATCCTTCCTGTCACAGGACAGATATGAGAATTCAGGTGTGCAGGGGCCAGCATTGGGCATCCCCATCCCCTACATTGCTCAGAATAGTTCTTAGGTTTAACCTTTTTATGTTTCTATATATTTTTGTTTGAATGCAGAATTCAACTTCAGCCCACTTCCACTTCAAGCCCTTCCCATACCAAAACTTTCCAATGTAGTATTCTGTATTTTGGAAAGTTCAATGATGAGTGATAATCTTGATAATATTATTGAATATTCTCGATAATATTATTGAATATTCAAAGCAATTTTTATAGCCTCAGGGAGAAGCCACCCTCAGGAGCCAGGGTTGTTGCACAATACGTGGGGGGACAGCCCATTCCTAATAACAAGAGATTACTTGGATAAAATTATAGTCGTTCCAGTAGGCCGCTAGTGGTCGCCAATCATTTTCCTTTTGCAACCTGATGAAACTACGTGACTCCTTTATGCAGTTCCTTATCACCGGATGAAGTCTGAAGCATTTCACCTGTCACGAAATCAAAGTACTCCAGAGATTCCTCTTGCTCTTGCCAGGTAAGGAGCCAGGAATCCCTTGCTGGATCCCAGCTTGGGGTCAGGCCCTGTGTTGTCTCAGATAATGACTCGCCAAGGCTTCCTGAGAAATGGAAAATTTTTGGCCTTTGATAACGAAGCCCAATGATGAGGCCCAAGGGAAACCTGTGAATCACAGTCGTTATTGAAGCTAATAACGTTGTTCTTCCTGCACTTTATACGTGATTGAGTGTTAGAGAAGTTTGGGAGATTTGAAGACTTGAGTATTCACTAGATAGGACTAACTGGAATGAATGCTAATCAATCTGGGAAGAAAAGTTGGCCGTCTCTGACTAGTCTCAGTTGATGACCACACAGAAGCTTACAGTTACTTTTGAATAGCACTGTATAGACAGCCAGGGGTTGAAAATCCCATTATCTGATTAAATACTTGCCTGATCAGGTTATTTTGACAACTGTCATCCCAACTGAAGAGTCAAGGGAGCTAAGGCTCAGGCTGGTGACTCATTGACCAAGGTCACTGTAAATTAGGGGTAGCTTCCTTAAAACCAAATCCAGGGCCTCCAAAATTAGTGCTTATAAGGTCCTCATGACCCCAGTCTGCCCAGTAGCTCCAGCCTCAGTTCATAACGCTCTCCGTGCTTTCCCACTCTGTGTTGTCAGTTAATGCAAGACATTTGCACATGCTGTTCCTCTGCCTATATCACTTCCCCCATATTTCCCTCTCTCCGCTCTCTCCCTACTTGGAAACTCCTCTTCATCCCTCAGACTTCAGCTTAAAGCCGCACTGAATCCAGAAGATAGTCCAGACCCATTCCCCAGAGGGAATAAATGAGGCCCAGAGAGGCTGAGTCCCTTACCATTGAGGTCAAGTCCAATTGCAAAGCCCAAGCACTTTTCAGTAGCCCCTGCTGCCTATAATGACTTGATTCTAAAAACGCAGCCCATGAATCCTGACTTTCCCTGGTGGTACTCACAGTCAAGATGCTGTCTTTTATTTATTTGATAAATATCTATGGGGAGAGTACCCTGTTCGAATAGAGGCATGGTAAGGAGGGATCCCCTGGAATCACACTGCCTGGCTTCATCACTAGCAAACTATATGATCTCGGGTGACGACGTCACTCATCTTTCAATGGGAGCTGAGGGCAGAGCAAGTGCCCAATAAATAGCTCTCACTGCCCTTGCCAGGCCTTGTATGTCAGAGTCATGACCTCCATCCCCCGTGCCCTTCCCCTCCCGCACTTCAATATTGTTTTTTTCATTGTCTTTTATGATATTTTTAATAATCTCCTTATGAATTTCCTTATAATAATCCACAGTTTTCTCACCCAGCTCACATTTCAAGAAGGAATAAAATAATTTCTATACTCTCCTCCCTTGCCATGGCTGACTCTCCTTCAATCAGTAAACAGTTTCTATAGAACATGAGCCCCAACAGGCCGCATACCATTTTCTATAGTGACTGTGGTTACAAGGCTACTTCGTGTCTTTGAAAAGTAAAGAATCATGATATGGGCTCATTGAAATGATATGGAAAGATCTTATACGGGTCAATTTGTTCTATATCTAATGTTTGTGTATCTTGAGAAAGAGAGAAAGAACCAGTCTCCTATTGCCTTACAAAACAGAAATTCTTCTGGCATCTCCAGTAAACTGTAAAGAGCTTTGTAAATGTGACTTAGGCCACTGTCATTGACCTTACCCCTGAGTGGAATTTTACCCACCATGGGAACTACTAACATTCTTTCAATTCTAACATTTCCTTTAGTTCTTCATTCATGACGAGCAACCACAGTATGCAAAACAGAGGTAAGAACACTTTATGTAAGAACTATAAAATATACAGGTAAGTCATCACACTGCGATATTCGTGCACTGTGACTTAGCTTTTGTGAACCTCAGAGTCACTGAGCTGATGTGTATAATGTCATTAGCTTGTTTTCATTGATAAATAGCTTTCCATTGTGTTAATATAACAATTTTCATCCATAATTAAATATGATCACTTAGGTGGTTTCCAGTTTTTTCCTTCTATGAACATTATTATGTTGTGAACCATATTATAGATGTCTTCCCATGTACATAATAATGATAATTTCTCTTTCTAAGAGGGAAATTGTTGGATTTTAGGATGTGCCTCTCTTCAATTGTACTAGATGTATTCTCCAAAGTGGATGTATCATTTAGTTTCACCAACAGTTTATGAGTCCGCCTTGTTCTCCATCCTCTCCAACAGTCGTTTTTAACAAACTTTCAGTTTTTGCCAATCCATTGGGTGTAACATAGATTTATCTTAAGAAAAGTCTATGAAATGTTGAAAATAAAATTAACCTCTCTTACTGATTGCCAAGATAAAAATCAAAAGGATACCATGTCTGTGGAGATGTCCGAAGCAGCATGTAAATACAGTGTTATATTACTGTTGGTGATAGGTTTTGTGTGTGTGTGAGGGAGATCAGCCGTGAGCTAACATCCATGCTAATCCTCCTCTTTTTGCTGAGGAAGACGGGCCCTGAGCTAACATCTATTGCCAATCCAACTCCTTTTTTTCCCTTTTTCTCCCCAAAGCGCCAGCAGATAGTTGTATGTCATAGTTGCACATCCTTCTAGTTGCTGTATGTGGGATGCAGCCTCAGCATAGCCAGGCAAGCGGTGCCTCCGTGCGCGCGGAGATCTGAACCTGGGCCACGAGTAGCGGAGCACGCGCACTTAACCGCTAAGCCACGGGGCTGGCCCTGGTGATAGGTTTTGATATGGTTAGCATCATTTTGCCCAAACTAGATCTGTCATGTTCTTGTGTCTTTCTTTCTTCATTCCATATGCCATGGAGATTCTGTGTTCAGGTCTAATCCTGCACTCTCTCTCTGTTGAGCGTAAGAGGGCTTAGGGCTGGAGGCAGCAGACACCATACGGTAGAGTGGAAAGGCTGAGGGCTCTACTGACCTTGGTCCTAATTCCGCCTCTCTCCCTACAATAGGATCAGCTTGAGCAAGTTGATTCTTGGAGCTTCACCCTCCCCTATCCATAAAATTCAAATAGTAATGTTAACTCACAGGGTTAATACACACACACACACACACATACACACACACACCTCTCTGCTTGACGCATAGTAGGCAGCTGACACGTTTTAATATTATTCCTTCTTTTCTGCATTCCCTTTCCTTCTCCAGAAATTCCCTACCCAAGTGATCCCATTAGACCAAGAGTTTCCTCCCTGACCTCCATCATGTCTTTATTTCTCTTCTGCCCTATACCTTCTGGGCCTTACACTGGAAAATCAATCTGGAAAACTCATTTCCCGTGATGTATACATTGCTAATACAAGTTTCCCGAGAGTCGACTCCTTTTTTAAAGGAAGGCGGCCAGAGGGGGCTGTAATTAACAGGATGGGCTCAATCCCTAGGAATCAAATGATAAGGACAGTGGTCCTGGAGGCCAGATCTCAGTGTATGAGGATGAAAAGACTTGTGGTGTCCAGGTGGAAGGTCCAGGGGCTGACCGGGCCCAGAAAGGACATTACTTATGGGGGTTTTGAGAATATTTTGCAGGGATGGGGAAGCAGAATCATAGCTTACAGAGGAAACCAGAGTCTTAACTTGAAAGGCAAATAAAGAGCAATTGAAGAATAGAGCAGCAGTGTCAATGAAGTGGGTGGCCTTCACAGACATGCATCCAGTCATGTGTCTCAGGACTGGGAGTAGATCATTTGTACTGGATCTTGTAGATTGTTCTCTACTCGTCTCAGAGGAAACAGGTTGCTTAAAGAAACAGGGGACACATTTTGGCCTCCAGCACCTTCCAATACAATTAATTCCTCTTTCCATCAACAAATATCCACCAAGCACGTGGTTTGTACCAAAATTGGGCTGGGCCTAAGAATACAGAATAGAGACAGCCCCATCCTTCAACTAACCAGAGCTTAAGCACCTGCGATGCTCCTCCATCAACTTACTGAGCGATGTTCATTCTACTGGGTAGAAATTCCTCTCTGCATCACCAGTGCTTGGCAGAAACTAGGTGCACAGAAAACAGCACACAATCCAGGCACTCACAGAGTTCTCAGTCTAGAGGGCTCTCTAAAGCTGACTGGATTCAATTTGCAGGCCTCAAGCACGGGGGTCGTACTCTTCATGTTGAACAGTGAAATCTACATCTCTGTCGATGGAGATATTAGCATCCTTATTTTACAACTGAGAGGTGTTCAGCTATTCCTGATAGTTCTGTTACCACCTGATAAACAGACTTTGCTCAATTCTCTGATAAATGAGTTCAAGCTAAGCTATTAGGAGCCTAGCAGATGGATTTCAGGGCAACAAAATTATTTTGATATAGTGGAAGAAGATCCAGAAAGGTTTGGTTATACTCTAAAATAGTAACAACATTGCTAAGTTTGGGATTGTGGATGATTTCTTTTCTTTTTTGTTTGTTTTTAATTTTTGTTCACTAATGTTTTCTTTTTCTATCTGCATTTTATAAATATTCTTTATATAGCTCTTTTTTAATGAAATTATTTATTTATTTATTTATTTATTTATTTTGCTGAGGAAGATTCACCTGAGCTAACATCTGTGCCAGTCTTCCTCTGTTTTGTCTGTGGGTCACCACCACAGCATGGCTGCCAACAAGTGGTGTAGGTCTGTGCCCAGGAACAGAACCTGGGCCACCAAAGCAGAGCTGAACTTAACCACTTGACCACGGAGCCGGGCCCTAAAATTATTTTTGAAATTGTATGTGAGGGTAAATTAAAATTTGCTGATAAATATGTGTGGATACCTGCTTAAAATAAAACACTTTTATTATAAGTTACAAAAGAAAAGTCTAGAGCTGTGTTTCTTTAATAATACTAACAACATTAGCAGTAGCATTTACTGAGTGGCTAGCATTTATTAAGAGTTTTATATACATAAGAATTTTAAAATATTAGTAATTATTGGTATCGGTATGATTTTACAACCCTTACCTTTTTTATTAGGCTAACCTGCCTCAAATTTTATTGGCCACCTACACAGTGTCCTCCCCAATGTTCCTCCACTTACTCTATGTCAATCTCTTCATTAATGTGACCCTCAATTCTCCAAGTGTGAGAGGACTATTTCCTGGGGTTATAAAACTCAAATGCAATGTTTTACATAAAGAATTTCCAAAGATCAGCTGCCATTATTTTAGACAAAACCAATTAAATACTTGTACTGGATTATATGCTCTGAATTTCATTCATTCATTAAACAAAGATCCAATCAGGCCTTCAGGGGAAAATTGTGTGGCCAAGTTGTTTTTTTGTTTGTTTTGTTTTATTTAACTCATTCTCTGAATAGACTACAAATGTATATCGCTATTTCTAAATGCTCTTTTGCAAGTAGGACTTTTTAAATATTCAAGCAAGACACTCAGAGTTGAAATATAATGAATCCGTTGCCACAATACAATGAAAAATTCATAATCACTGAACACTATTATGTATGCTACACAAACTAAGAGATAGGAAGTGCTGATAATGGTTATTTTCTTCTCTCAAGTATATTCTTATTGTTTCAATCCATGTTGAAGAGAGAGTATGGCCATTTCAATAATAAGTCTCTATATATTGCTTCACTATAATTTAAAATAAAGTTTTTGAAGTCATTCTTTCTATATTAAGACAGCTCTTTCAGCTCTCTTGGTTAGGCTTTGCCTGCTATATAGCTCTCCATCCTCTCACTAGTGATCTCTCTGCGTCATTATATTTTAGATGAGTAATTAGCACATAATGATTTTTAAACCAATCTGCATCTGATTTTTAAGTGCCAAGTTTATACCTTTGATATTTATTGTGATTACCAATATTTTTGGATCCATTTTTATATTATTTTTTGCCTCCTATTGCCCTGCTTTTTACTGACTTTTTGTTTCTTTTCCTGCCATATATTGGATTCATCTCTTCATTATTCCCCTTTCTCTCTCTTTTTTGGAAGTCATACATCCCAGTTCTGTGCTTCCATTGGTTACCTTTAGCATTTTAAATAAAAGCATGCTTGAATTTTAAAACTCTGGAGTTCATATTCTCCTCCCAAGCAATACAAAAAACTTTCATTTTGATGGTATGAATTCTGCACTGTGCTTGAAAGTTAAGCTTTTACTTATAAAATTTTAAAAGGAGAGATGTCTTTAGCATCTTTTTCCTATTTTTAAGGTCATAAATTGGTGTGTGAAATTAACTTACTATGATGAGTGTAATTTAAACTTTAAGTGATCAGACAGTTTTCTACAACAAACATTTTGATACACATAATTCCCTGTAACAAACATTCTTAGGCTCATTGTTAAAAGTCACAATCCTTGGAACCATTAAAACAGAACTTTCAATATTTCAGGAGTGCCCTTTGTTCCTCTTACCAAACCCAGAGAGAAATTTGGCTTTTTGATAATGAGAAGCAAAATAAATACACATATAACCTAAATGTTATGGTAAATGGCAAGTAAATATTTGCTAGTGTTTTATTTCATGTTTTGCCTCAAAAATATACTGTGTTGAGTTGTTGTTAAGCTACTAAACAGGACTATAACTTTGGTTATACTTTTTTAGACTGAATTTAGACTATATAGCTTATAATTCTTCACACTAATCACTTTTCTTCCATTTTATATGTTGTTATTGTCCAATAATTTATTTCCATATTGTTTTTATACCCTCAAAGCTTTACGACTTTTTTACAGTTAATTCTTGCCTTAAATTACTAACATAGTTATAAATATTTTTGTTTAGTGTTCTTCCTAACACCTCACTCCTTCCTTGTGGTTTTAATTTCCTGACATTCATCTTTTATTAGTATTTACTGGAATGACGTGCATTAGATATATGTTATTTTCATTGAAGTATGTAGAGAAAATACCACATCAAAACTTGACAAGTGGTAGTATCTTAAAGTTTAGGAACCATGTGAAATCAAAACCCTTTTGAGGAATTTTTTTGCATTCTGTTACTTTAAAACCTATTGGTCTATCTTGCTCTTTTAAAGAATCTTTTACCCAGGCATGATTTTGTAGCATCGTGCATTGGTCACTTGGAAAATAATGATTCATAGAGCTGAGCAGATCTTTCCAATGTTAACATATTTTATTATGTAATATTTTTTAAAATCACATTCGTAAGTAACACCACCAACCTCATCAGAAAAGTCTCACTGTGGGTATGCTGTTATGTCACAGTCGCAGATACAATTTTTTCCAAATTCCAATTTGTACTTGAAAAGTCTAATTTTATAATTGGCAACAAATACTGCATCATTTTCCATGAAGTGACAGGCTCACTTTCTTCATTTATAATAAAACATCTGCCAAAGGCGCAGGTTTGAATAACCATTGTTTTTTTGTCAGTCATTCTTTCGGGTTAAAAAAGTGATGTTCCATTAAAATAAATGTTGATCTTTCAAGTTAAAAAAAAAATGGTGTTTCCTGAGTTGGGAACAAACTTGGCTTGTTTAAGAAACTGGACAAATTTCATTATGGCCAGGATAGAGTGGACGATGGGGGATGGAGGAAGGGAGGAAGGAAGGGAGGGACGGAGAAATGAGAAGAGAAAGATTATTAAGGGCCTTATTGACAGAAGTAAAATGTTTGGATATTCTTCCAGAGGTAAAGGAAATCATGGAAGGATTTTTACCGGGGGGGGTAGCAAAGTCAGAATTACATTTTTTTCTTTCTTTCGTTTTTTTTTTTTTTTTTTTGGTGAGGAAGATTGGTCTTGAGCTAACATCCACTGCCAATCCTCCTCTTTTTGCTTGAGGAAGATTGTCCCTGAGCTAACATCTGTGCCAGTCTTCCTCTATTTTGTATATGGGACACCACCACAACATGGCTTGATGAGAGGTATATAGGTCTGCGCCCAGGATCAGAACCTGCAAACCCCGGGCCACTGAAGCAGAACACACGAACTTAACCACTAAGCCATCAGGCCCGCCCCCAAAATTATATTTTTAAAAGATTACTCAGATGCCCTAGAGAGAGAGGAAGGGGCAAAAGCTGAACAAGAGAACAATCCAGAGGAGACTGCTGTCCTGAATGAGGTGATGTGGTGTAGACCAAGACGATTGCCACAGACACAAGAAGGAGTAATGGGTTCCAGCTCCATGTTGGAGGGAGGCAACCTGAGACAGTAACGAAATCATATTTAAATGTGGATTTATCTTTCCAAGATCATAAAGAAAGCATGCAGTCCCATTCTCCTAAGAGATGTCAGTCTCCAGCCGGCTATGGCCCTCGGGAAAATTCGCTGCACCATAAAAACACAAGCTGGAGAAAACCGTTCCCCGCAAGGTCTGATGAAAAGGTAAACCAAACATGTCTCTTTCTAGATGAACTTAGCAGCTAAACAGAGCTTTATTGAACAATGCCTAAAAGGAGATCATCACGACTGGCTTTAATTTTTCCCCTTTCTGGCTACATATTATTATATATTACGTATTTAATATTTTAAAAAGTGTTTTGCTATATGACATTTTACATTGCTCTTTCACCAGAGTTGTTAACTTGCATATTTCCAGATTCTCAATGTTTTTTTTTTTTATTAATCCAAAAAATGGAGATATTTAGGACTGTGTTTTATATTTACTGGCTGTTCAATAGTCTTTAGGATTAACAAGGATTTACATATTGCGATTCTTTCCCCAACAAAAGATCCACATATGGTACGTTCACTTCATTTGAACAGTCCAACACCATTGACTGAGCACTTATCATATGCCAGACAACATGCTAAGGCTATGGTCCTGCCCCAGAGGAGACATAGAGAGGGAGGGATGCAAATGGATAATAGATGTATTTTTGTTGGTCCTTCATCTATTTTCTGGGCACAGGGAGAAAGCCAGACAGACATGGGTTCAAATCCCGGTTCCACCTCATGGACTTTAGGCAAGTGGCATCAAGATGCTCTGAATGTGTACCGGTCTTTCCCTCCTCTGCTGTTTTTATGATGTGCAGGGCCACATAGGCTTCCAAACAATATACCTCCCACCTCAGTAAGCTCCCCAGGGACAGATTCAGAAAGCATTGATAGGTAGACGGTTTATTATCCATTCTGAGCATGGTGCCGGAGGGCCTTTCTCAATAGATGGGGAGAAATTTCTGATTACTTTCAATGCCAGACGGACTTCGTCATGCCAATTTCATAATTCCTAAGCTGCAGTTACTTTTTCTGTGTCCATATCCAGATCCAGGGATGGAATTTTTGTCCTGCATATCTGATATAAATCAAACTGTGATTTGGCACTGGTGGAACGAAAGTAAATTTTAGTTAATTAATTAATAATTAGTACTTCCCTTTAACCCTAAAATATTCATCATTTAACCTTTACTGCAGGACGTCCAGCACAATGAATGGTACATTGGTACTTCCCTTTGACCCTAAAATAATCATCATTTAACCTCTATTGCAGGACGTCCAACACAACGAATGGTACATTGGAGAGTACAGCCGCCAGGCAGTAGAAGAGGCATTAATGAAGGAGAACAAGGTAATGCCTTCTACAGGGCCCATCTCATTGTTTCTATAGTCATCCTATGGTTTCCTGCCCAGAGGTCACGGGACACAACAAGCAGTGTGCTTTGATGTAGTGGTTCCTGCATCGCCCTGCATTTCTCAATGCTGGGGATGTTGTAACTGAAAGGGGGATTTCAGAGTTTTAGATTTGAGACTTGGTTGTGTCACTTATCAGCTGTGTAACTTTCTCAAGTCCCTAAATATCTTTAAGTGTAGGTTTCCTTATTTGTTAAATGAAAATAGTAAAATCAACCCTAAGGAACTAGTATTTTGGAGACCAAATGTGGAAGCTGGGGTATAAATGGAGGTCACATGGAAGGTGCCTTCCTTCTGCTTTCTTCAAGTTTTATCTCCTTACTGAAGGTCTGCCCAAGGTCCAGTTGGGTCTTTGTGCCTCACTTCTTCAGGAAAGGAGCAGGGACCATGGATGCTGTAACAGTTAGGATATGATAGGTTATACTATAGTAACAAACAACCTCAAGATCTCAGTTGCTTAGCATAACAAAACTTTATTTCTTGCTTGCACTCCACGTCCAAGACAGGTTTGGGTGGGGAGACACAGACTGCTGGAGGCTCCATCACAGTGTGTGCTCACACCAGTCACACTGGCTCTTAACACTTCACCTCTGCTCACATTTCATTGGCCAAAGTAAGTCACATGACCAGACTTAACTTTGAAAAGGGTGGGGAAGTACAAACCTACCATGTGACCAAAAGGAGAGAAGACCTGGAATATTGGCAATCAGATCAAATGACTGCTATAACCATGATCACAAATAGGAAACAGCTATTCAGCAACTACTCTGCTGTGTGCAGAGAACTCTACTAGATTGTTTAGAAGGGAGAGAAAGGCTATCAAGACCACTGCAACATCAAAACTTATCCTCAACTAACCACTAAAATGGTCATGGTTGAATGAGGAAATACAAAATGAATAAGTTAGTTAATTAGTGGATGGGTGAATAATGATAGGTATCTAATAAATTTTAATAAAACCTAGTTTTCAGAATTGATGTTATAAAATTAAATAAGATAAACTATGTGTAAGTTTCTATGGTAAACAGAATAATGACCCACACACACAAGATGACCACATACTAATCCCCAAAACCTGTGACTATGTCACCTTGCCTGGAAAAAGGAACTTTGCAGGTGTGATTAAGTTAAAAGTCTTGAAATGGGGAGATTATTCTGAATTATCTGGGTGGGTTCAATGTAATCACAAGGGTCCTTATAAGACAGAGGCAGAAATGTCAGAGTCAGAGATGGGTGGCCATGAGTCAAGGACTAGTGGTGGCCTCCAGAAGCTGGAAAAGGCAAGGAAACGGATTCTTCTCTAGAACCTCCAGAAGGAACCCAGCCCTACTGATACCTTGATTTTAGCCCAGTAAGACCCATATCAGAATTCGACCTCCAGACCTGTAAGAGAATACATTTGTGTTTTAATCCACTAAATTCATGGTAATTTGTTATAACAGCAGTAGGAAATTAATACAGTTGCTACCAAAGTATCTTGAACATATAGGAAGAAATAGAACTATCTCATTTTCCAGAGAAGGAAACTGAGGCTAAGTCAGGTTCTTGGTCACAAGGTGGAGCAAGTGGCAGAAAAGATCAGTGCTCTTTTCACAAAACCATGGCTGCCTCTTGTAGCCATGATAGTTCTTTACATCCTAGATGGGGAGCCATAGGCGGTTAGGTGGTGCCTTGCCTTGAGGACCCTCCGTTCCCTCTCCCTGGGGAATCCCACCACGCTGACCTCTGCTGGGTAGAATGGTGGAAGAGTGGAGCCAGACTGGCACAGGCTCAGCTCCAACCTTGGCTCCTCTTCTTGGCTAATCAGCACCAAAGGGGCTATCACACTCTCTGAGCCTGTCTCTCAACCGAAAAACTGCTCTTAGAAGACATGCTTCCAGAAGCCAATGTGGGGATGGTGCTAGAAGAGCAATGTATATGTCACATAATGCCCTTCCAGCAATGTTTGGCCATTCAGTCAATACTCCCTTCCCGACCCTTCCGTGTGCCTGTTTCTGCCTCCTCCCAAAAAAACACTGAGAAAACAGAGTCTCAGCTGAATGACTTCATCTTTTCCTATTCTGTTTGTCTCAGTTAGTTTTGTCAAAATGTGTTTCCCATTTATGAAAGATAACTTAATTTAAATTACAGGATTGCCCAGATTCATTGTGACAAACTCATTGCAGAGTTTAAGATGATAAACCCCAAATTGGTCATGCGTCTTGGCTTCCTCTCCCTTTCTGATCTTTGGCAATGTTCTGTGCTTGAGTTTTAAGGCTTCAATTATGGCTGAATGTTTAGGCAGAACGAGTTCCAGAAAATCTCTCAATCCCATTTTATGTACTTGGAGGCTGGCATATTTAAAGAGCAAGAATTTGGGCTTGACTTTTAGGCATTCCATTGACTAGCTCTAACACATTAGGGGATTCACTTAAGCTCTTAGATCCTGATTCCCTTACCTACAAAATGGGACTAAGATAATTCCTCAAATTTTATGTAAAAATCAAATGAAACAATGTGTGTAAAGTGCTTGGCATCCTGAGAGTAATTCTCAATAAGCCTGAGCTGCCAGCATCATCATAACATCACTATAGTTTTATGACTTTAATATATTTATAGCATTATGATATAGTAGTATAACCGTTATCTAGAATATCTATAAATGTTAGTTATATATAATATATATAATATATAAATAATTTTATATTATGTGTAAATGTAAATTTTTTATATATTTATATATAAATATATAGATATATTAAATATAGTCTATATATAGAGGTAATTATATATAACAATTATTATAAATACAAATTATTGTATATATCCATCTATATAAAGAATAGATAGTAAGTGCTGCACACATCTAATTAGATCTATCCTTTACAGATCTTACTATTCTATTGTGGATCTATTCTTTGTGGATCATTTATAACCATCTATACAACAATCTGTGCAACTACAGTTACAGATTTTTCAGTATTTTTCATCAGAAATGGCATGCTGTAAGCACAAAACTAAGCCTTGTGAGTGTGATTATATTCAGGAGGATTGCTTCATTTCTTGGCCTTTTATGACCAGACCTTCATCTTGAGCTATTCCCCAGGGTGTGCCTGATTGTTTCTTTTTTTTCTTTTTTTTTTTAATTGAGGTAACATTGATTTATAATATTGTACATGTTTCAGGTGTACATCATTATATTTCACCTTCTGTATAGACTACATGGTGTTCACCGCCAAAAGTCTAGTCGCTGTCCATCACCGTACACATGTGCTCCTTCACTCCTTTTCGCCCTGGTAACCACCAATCTGTTCTCTGTATCTGTGTGTTTGGTTCGTTGGTTGTTGTTGCCTGATTATTTCGGTTTCCATGCAGTGTGCCTATTCGCAGCCCTCAGACCATTTTACACTGTTGACCTTATTTTGGAATCCCTCGCTCTCCTCCCTTGGCTTCTGTAACACTGAAGCTTCTGGGTTTCCTTCTCTCTCTCAGACATCTTCTTCAATTCCTTTTCTGTCTCCTTTTCCTTGCCCTGCACTTGCCTCCGCCTCACCCTAGGCCGTATTTTCTCCTCCCTCAGAGAGTCTCTCCATTCATTTTAGTACCAATGACTTTGAAGCCCCACATCGTTTTGGGGGAGCCTAGTCCTATATGGACATCTCCCCACACAGAGGCCCAATTTATTATGCTAAAAGCCTTTCCCGCTCAAAGCCTCCAATGGCTCCCACTTTCTTTAGAATAATACCTGAGCATCAGGCAGAACACGAAATATGTGAACATTGGCAGGTGAAGGGAAGCACACCCAGCAAGGGGAAGGGGGCTACTCCATGCAGAGGGGATGGCATGTGCAAAAGCTTGGAGCCCAAAAGCAAGATGGCACCTTTGGGAAATGGTAGGTTGAGTGGAGCCAAGATGCAGGGGCTGGAGACTGCAGGAGCAACGAGAGATAAAACCACAAGACAGGTTGGTGCTTTTACCCATGAACATCACGCTAAGGTTGTAGGCATGACACTGAGTAGAGGATGTTGGAAGAATTGGAAGAAGAAGGTGTCATGATCTGTTTGGTACACTTTTCAGAAAATAACAAGAACCCTTATACATACTGACACTCATTAAATATTTACTGAATTAAATTGAATAAAGAACTGGTTTGCCAAAAACTAAAGCCATTTGGGGATCTCACACAGGCATGCATCGCTGTTGCCAATGTTGTGAGGGTGGGACACTGGCATGCCTGAGAAGATGATCATTCTTCCTTTTGCTTCAGGATGGTACTTTCTTGGTCCGAGACTGTTCCACGAAATCCAGGGCAGAACCCTACGTCTTGGTGGTGTTTTATGGGAACAAAGTCTACAACGTGAAAATCCGCTTCCTGGAGAGGAATCAGCAGTTTGCCCTGGGGACTGGACTCAGAGGAGATGAGGTGGGTATAACTGAGCCTGGCTTCCCTTTTCCAGGCTAAAGACAACAAATGAGGGGAGAGTCGGGGGATGCTAACCCAGTCATCTCCACATCCCCATGACTGCAGGATAGGAGAAAAGAGCGCCGCCCTGGAGTTGGAGAATGTAATCTAATCCTGCCAGCCCTGTCCACGAGCATTCCCTGCACATCTTACACTTCAGCTCACAGGGCCAGCAACCAATCCTGACCATTCCATGCACCCTCTATCCTGCTTTGCCCATTAAAGAAAACTCATTCTGCAAGAGGCATCTAAATTCAGCTTCTCAGGAAGCCTCCACTGAACCCCATGTTAATGCCATATCCCTCCCCCGCCCCAGCGCTGAACTCCCACTGCAGGCATTTCTGATAGCATCTGTTAGCATTCATTAGAAATCGGTAGGTTTGTCTGGCTAAGTTGAATGTGAGCTCAATCACAGCATTCAGTGCTACGCTGAGCATGCCTGTCTTCAGTACAGATCTGCTGATAGGCAGCTAGGTGAAAGAAGGCATCAATTAAAGCATTCATTAATAACTGTATGAATAAATCAAAGAGTAAGGAGAAAGGAGATTGATGGTCACTGAATGAGTTTATGCTAGGCTGTGGTCTGTCTGCATTATCTGCATATCTATCTACATTATACTCTGTCTGCATTATCTCATTTTAATCCTCAACAACTCTTTGACATAGCAATTGTTCCTATCTTAGATGTAGGGAAACTGAGGCTCAGAAAGTTAATTAAATGGCTAGAGACAGACAGGTAGTAAGTGAGAGGGCAGGGAGAGGCTGCTTTTTCAACTCTTCTTGGAAGGAAGGAAGAAAGGAAAGAGTAGTGTTCAAGTTCTGAGTCACCATTACTAAGTGTCTGAACTCAGGCCTGTCACTTAACTTCTCTGGGCTTTACTTTCTTCAGATATAAATGTTCAAGTCTACACTTCTACAGTTCAGTAATTCTCATTCAGCATCCTCAGACCTCAATTTCATCTGTTGGTGTATATTATGGGCTAAATTGTGTCCCCCACCAAATTCATATGTTGAAGCCCTAATGCCTGGGACCTCAGAATGTGACTGGTTTTGGAGATAGGGTCTTTAAGAGGCAATTAAGTTAAAATGAGGTCAGTAGTGGGGGCCTAAGGACTGGTGTCCTTATAAAAAGAGATCAGGACACAGACACACACAGATGTGAAGTCACAGTGAGAAGATGTCCATCTACAAGCCAAGGAGAGAGGCCTCAAAAGAAACCAATCCTGCTGACACCTTGATCTTAGACTTCCAGCCTCTAGAACCGTGAGAAAGTAAATTTCTGTTGTTTAAGCCTCCTGCACCCACTCTGTGGTACTTTGTTACAAAGGCCCAAGAAAACTAATATAGTATGAAACTAGAACTTTCACACAAATATCTATTGTTCTTCAATAGATATAAAAATAAGGAATATTGCCAGGGAACTAATGCTAAAATGTTCCAGGTAGGCACATATGTGAAAATCCTACCAGCAGCTGTGTGAAGATTCCAGCTTAAACCCAGGGTCTGATCCAGAGCCCTTTACTCAGACACATGTGGCTGGAGAGGTGTGGTCGGCACTAGCCAGGCTCCCGAGGGGTCAGTCCACCAATCTTTGCTACAGCCCGGGAAAGTCTGGGCATAAAAGAGAGAATGAGTGAATACATTGATTAGTATCTAAATCTGCTAAATACAGCCGCATTAAGAAAATGTTACGGCCAAACTAAAGAGAGATGTAGCCCATTTTTCCCTGTGTGATGAGGATTAGTGAGTTAATGAATGTAAAACACTCAGGACACTGCCTGGGGTGATCAAGCCCACAGTAAACGTTAGTCATTCTATTTCCATTATTATGACTGAGTCATAACAACTAAGATATAGTTCCCCTCAACTAGATACCTATTGCTAATGGACTTTCCAGCTCAATTTCCCTTTCTGCTACTATATATGCTTCCAACTTATAGAATTTCTCATTTTAAAAAAAGGCTTTATATGACTTTTAAGTTCTTGGGATTAAGGATTCCTTTTCCCTAGAGAATACAGAAAATGGAAATCATGTGCCCTAACAGGTGCTGGACCCTCTGTGAGATGATGTTTAATTTGCTCTCGCATTTGTCCTTGCAAAAACTCGGAGAAGTAGGCTTTATTAAACCCCTTTTACCAGTGAGGAAACAGAGCTGAAGAGGTTACAGCTTTTTTCCCCCAACATGCCATACTTTGGTCTGCTACTAAAAGAGGAATCAGCAGCTCTGTGATAATATCCTAATAGTGTTTAATCAGATTGTCACCGGTTCCCTGACTGCCTCAGCAGGTAAACAGTTGTCATCTATGACAGACAGCCCAGAGATTAGACAGTCAGCTTCCAGGTGAGTGGCTCTAATTATTGTCACCGAGGACCCCTTAGGGATTCCAATACCTATTTTAAGAAGACCCTTTTTGTGTTGTTTCAAAATTTTCTCCTCCCGTGCATCCCTCAGGCAAGAGTTTCCTTTTCATACATGTATTTAACACTCACATATGTGTACTATGCCCAGGCACTATTCTATGCTGTCAACAATTATTAATTGACTTGATGGTTTCATCCTCACACCAACCCTGTGAGGTGGGTGCTGCCGATATCTTCATTTAACCAATGGTGAAACTGAGGCACAGAAATGCTGTGTAACTAGCCCACAGTCACCGCTAGTATACAGCAAAGCTGGGGTTCAGTGTGGTCTGCAAGAATGTCGACTTCCTTAAATAGTCTCAGATAACATCATGACCAAGTGCAAAACAACCCCCAGCCTGCCTGAAAACAGCCCAGAGCGTTGGTTGAAGACTAGGTAACACTTACATGGAGTTTACTGTGTGCCAGGTGCTGGGTGAAAAAGGACAATTTACAGGTGGTTCTTCCTGCCTTTCCTCTGAACAAGTGGTGCCCTGTGTAAGAGAGAGACCAGCCAGAGTGGGCCCTTTGCCTTGCTAAGGAAGAATCTCCCATCTTTTAAAAAAAGATAAAAGAATTTGATACAGCAAACCTCTGCTAAATGCAAGCCAGCTACTAGCTACTTCATTTGGTGCTTGAATAAATTAGCATCTTAGTCGACTCTGCAGGAAAAATGTCATGAGACAGGGTTTTCAAGGACAGTTTTGATTTCCTGTGGCTTTTTGGCTGTCTTGCAAACTTTAGAATTTTAACCACACATACAATGAGCAATACCTACCTCAAGGGAGTTATTTTGAGTGTAAGATGAAATGGTGTAAATAGAGACACAGAGAGGCAGGTGCTTAATAAGTATGGGTTTCCATCTTAAATGATTCCTGAAAGCCCCTTCATGAGATCTGTGTGACCCAGGCATAGGTGAGGACAAGCCCACACTGCGACCATGAAGTTACAGGAGACGCCCGGACGAGGTCCCCCAGGAAAGCCACAACATGTCACGAGCACAGAAGGCGAGCGAGCCCACATATGAATGTGAAGAATGAGGCTGGGAAAGTCTGTTTTGCTGCATATTAGGTATTTGGGCCATTCTGTTAGCCATGTGGCTAGAAACCCATGTCTGAAATCAGATTCAGGAAGCACCCAGTGTATTAGTTTCCTGTGGCTGCTGTAACAAAGTATCACAAACTTGGTGGCTTAGAACAACAGAAATGTATTCTCTCGCAGTTCTGGAGGCTGGAAATCCAAAATCGAGGTGTCGGCAGGGCCACACTCCTTCTGGAGGCTCCTGGGGAACGATGATCCCTTGCCGCCTCCAGCTTCTGGTGGCTGTCGGCAACCCTTGGCTTCCTCAGCTTGTGGCCACACCGCTCTAATCTCTGCCTCTATGGTCACACTGCCTCTTCCTCTCTTCTGAATGAATCTCCGTCTGCTTCTATCTTACAAGGATACATGTGATTTCTTTTTGGGATAACCTAGGATAAGCTCCTACTCCCAAGACCCTTAAACTTAATCCTGTTTTTTGTCACGTAAAGTAGTAGTCACTCTTTTCATATATAAGGTAATAGTCACAGATTCCAGGGATTAGGACATGACATAGAACCGTGTCCACCATTCAGCCCCCTACACCCACTTTCTCAGTTATTGGCCAAGTATTAATTTTATGCCAAACTATGCTAGACTCAGTGCTCCATTCATGGAGTGGAGTAAGGTGGAGTTCCTGCCATCCAGGGGATGCCCCGGTAACCTGTACCCATCTATGCAGGCACCTAAGCAGGCTGAGACTGGAAATATTGAGTACCTGGTGGAACACCAGCCCTGGCCAGCCAGAGAGGTGCCTGCCATAGATAACCTGCAGTGCTTTCCCTGCCGGACATCAACCCTGCACCCAAGTTTTAGAAATCACGCTTGTCAACATCTCTGTAAAAGCTCATAGAAGGGAGCAATCTCAATTATCAGAACTTCCCGTGTCCTGCAGATGTTTGTGATAAGTTGCTGAAAATTATGATAGATGTTTACTTGATAAATTAAACTTTAAAGACTAGGAGACAGAGTGAATTAACCCATGGGTTTATTTCTCACTCCCCTGTCAGCTTCTCTCCTCCCTCTCTCTTTGCATCTCTCTCTCTTTCTCTCTTTTCTTCTTTCACTCCTATGAGTGTACCCAAACAGAGGTATTTACCTTTCTGGCAGTGAAATATCACCTACAGTTGGTATATAGGGCAAATACAAAAGGTTTAAACAAATTTTAAGATCTAATAATAGGATGACATTTTCTGTCCTCTGGAAAAAAAATCATTTAATATGAAAATAAGAGCTTAATTATAATCTTTTTTACAAGTCTCTGTAGGGTAATATATGGATTGTGAGCCTATTGCTAGAAGTCAATAATAAGAAATGACAGTATGATTTATTGCTCCTGTTTTGCTTGCTTCCTACTACTTGTTAAAATTACAATTTTATACAAAATGTCATCCGTGTAGTAGATCATTATAACAATTAATATTGAATTCATTATTTCGGGACCATCCTAAAGAAAACAGGAATGAGAATATGAAGCAAGCATTTTCCCTCTGAAGATTAACACCAGGAAAGAGGATTTCCTCTGGGCGATGTGGGTTAACCAATTTTGTGGAAGAGTTCTGCATGAAAAGTTTTTTTCATAAATCACTTTTTGTTGTGTCAAGTATGATGAAAGAGAAAGAAAACTCTGTCCTTAGTTTATAACTGGAAATGAAATATAAAAATTTCCTTTCGTCCTAAAAGCTTATGATGATAGTCTATAAACTTCTCTGGTGATTTCAGTGATTTTTCATCATGTTCTTGGCAAACCTAGAAGGAAGAAGGTCAAATAATGACTGACATTTATTAAGCACTCACTGTATACTGAGCTCTCTTCTAAATGCTGTACATGCGTCAACTCAGTTAATCCTCACAATGGCCCTCAGAGGTAGGTCCTAATATTACCATCACTGAGACAGTGTAAGAAACTTGCCCAAGGTCACACAGCTAGTGGTGGGGACAGCCCTGCTTGGAACTCAGGCACTTGATCTCACAGACCCTTCACTTACGACTTCTGTAGCAAAATAATTACTTTCCCTGTTGGACACCTGGGAAACCACCTTACCTTAGCATCAGGCGGGAACTAACAGTCATGTATACCTATTAGGGGCAGGCAAATAGCTTATCTCAGTGAAAACTGCACAGATCCAGAGGAGCAAGTGGCTTACAGACTTAACTAGGACTCTTCTAGTGCGAAAAGCAAAACCCAACTCAAATGAGCTTAGGTGGAGAGGAGGGAGGTGTGTTGACTCAGTTACCGGGAATGACAGGAATGGGGTGGATCCAGGACTGGTCATTGTCACAAGATTCATCACTCCACGCCTCCTTCCCCAAGATATTTCCCCCACTGTGATGCTTATTTGCTCTTCACACCCTCCACAAGTGGCAGGAAGGAGGACACGGCCACGGTAGTTACAGGTTTCTAGTGTTTCAACTCAGTGCTCCCCTGAGGAAAAAGAAGTTCCCCTCACAGCAGCCTTAGGCAGCCCCCAAGGGAAGGCCCCAAGGTGGCCTACTGAGGTTCTCAAGCCCAAAGCTGATTATTTCCACAGCACATTATCCCTACATGAGATTATCTATTTGTTTAGGAAATTATTTTCTGCCTGCCCCCACCAGAAGGTAATCTCCATGAGGACAGGGACCTTGACAATCTCCTTCCTTGTTGGGTACCCCTAAGGCCTATGAACACTTCTGTGCTAGGATATACTGGGCAGAGGAAGGAGTATACAAAATGAAAGCAGAATCAAAGTCGTAGCCCTGTGACTCTCTTCCTTCAGCCTGTGTCATCTCCACCCTGGTCTGTTGGAGCACGAGGGTCACAAGCCATAGGCAAAGTTGTATAAAGGAATGAACAGATGTGAATCCAGAAAAACCAGGTTCTGTTCCTGGTCCTGGCCCTCTAGCCCTGTGACCTCTGAGCAAGTCAGTCCACATCTCTGAGCTGCAGTTTCCTTAGCTCTTCAGGGAAGGTCATTCTACCTGCCCTGCTCACTTCCCAAGGTTCCTGAGGAGGATCAATGTTGTCTGAAGGCATAGAAGGCAAGTTGTGCAAGCTCTTCCTAATTATCTCCCAATATCCCCTCTCAAGAACTCAGCCAAACTCAGCTCATCAGGATTATTGTCTATGCCCAAGTGTTCTCAGCACCTGTCTTTGTACGTGCTTCTTCCTCTGCTTTAAATATCGCTAAACCCTCCTTGTCCACTTACCTAGAATCACCCAGAATGTATAGCCCATTTCAAGTCTGTATCTTCAACAAAGCACTTCCTGATCCCCTTAAACTTGAAATAATCTCACTTTCCATTAAATCACCAGAGCCCTTTATCTGTACATCTCTAGAAACATAAAAGTGTAATGATCTGCTGTCACCTCATTATTTCACAAGAAGCCCAGGGAAGGAAGCTTAAATTGGCTAAGAACTACCAGCAGCACTGTGGTCATCACTGTTCTTTCTTATTACGCTGGAATTCGTTAGAACAAGAGGGGTTTACAGGAGGGAGTGTTCCCTGCAGGCCTTTCCCACCAATTTACTAAGTGAAGATCAGGCCTTGATCTTCCACATTTTGGGTTGTCACAGTTGGAGTCAAGGTAAGGGAGGCACCACAGATTCTTCTGGTCAACTGCTGTGTAAATAACTATCTGAATTGCTCATGATAGGAGCGTGTGGTCCCAACAGAGTGGAGCTTGACCTGTGTGACCCGACTCTGGTGAACACTCCATGGGTGGAAGGTTAGAGAGCTGCCATAAGATTCACTTTGGTCTCCCCAGGCCCTATATTCCCCCTTGCTATCTCATCATTCGTATCACTCATCCTTCAAGAGCTTGTTTGCCACATCCTTTTTTAAAAATCACTTTCTGACACATCTTTACAATCCAAAAAATTTTAAATAAGTTAACCTCTTCCCTAAGTAAAATGAAGCATCTTAGGCTGTACTTTAATCTACAGACACAAAAGATATCTAAATTTTCATTAACCTTCTTTCCTGTGTTTCAGAAATTTGATTCGGTGGAAGACATCATCGAACACTACAAGTATTTCCCTATTATATTAGTTGACGGGAAAGATAAAACTGGGATCCATAGGGAACAATGCTACCTGACTCGGCCCCTCCCTCTCAACAGACACTTCTCAGCTTGGTAGCCTGGCCTGTGTTTATCTTCAGTTCGGTGGATCCAATGTCTCTATCATTTTTCATTTATTTCGAAAGATTACATTCTGTGGTTTTAAGAGATTATTTCTTTGGCTTCATAGAAAAGAAAAACATTCTATAATGGAAATTGGAAAATCAATCACAGTTTTGAAAGCTCAAACCACAGAAGAGATATTTATAAGATGCAAAAATTAAAACTAGCTTTAAAAAAATATCTTCTAAAAAAAAAAACTATAAACACGGTCATTATGTTCATGTTACCAACGAGCAACAAAGGTTACAAGGAGCTATTGCTTAAATGTTTGCAGCTAGCACATGACAAATCTAGGTGACATTGCCAAATCTATGCTCTCTAGAGGACTCAGTGCTGCCTTTTTTAATTTCAGGACTGTTTGGACTTAGGAATTTACACTGTTTTCATGATTCCTTATGCTAAAGATGTTGGTGAATGATAGCTCTGTTTGTAATCCTGGAAATTTGATTATAGGGAAGGACTGTGGTGTGGAAAGCAAGAGCACTTGTGAATATCACTTTAAAGACAGAAATCAGAAATGCTTTGACTACGGTGTGAAACAGCCAATGGACCAGTCTCCCGTGTACTCTCTTTAGAGCAGCTTGAAGGCAAATGGAATTAGCGGATTCATAGTAAAGAAGCAAGCCTAAGTCTGAGTGAAAGTGCAATTGTTTAACAATTCCAATTGTAGACTTCCATTCAAAGGAAGAGAAGAACTGTCCTCAAATTAGTGCTAATATCTTGCAGAAATATTGCACACATCACGATATTGTCCCCTCTCAAGGCTAAAAGGATCTCATTTTATTCCTTTTTTACAGTACAGATGAGGAAACAGAGGCTCAAAGAGGTTAATGATCTTAATTTAAGAGGAGAGCCCAGATTTTTACCCATTTTGGCTGGCTCCATCCAAGCGCATCTTCCGAGGTACATTCCCTGTGGAGTTTTACAATCAAATTGAAAAGTTAAATTAAAAAGAAAGAGAGAGAGAGGGGCCGGCCCGGTGGTGCAAGCAGTTAAGTGCACGAGCTCCGCTGCTGGCGGCCCGGGGTTCACCGGTTCGGATCCCGGGCGCGCACCGACGCATCCCTTAGTAAGCCATGCTGTGGCGGTGTCCCATATAAAGTGGAGGAAGATGGGCACGGATGTTAGCCCAGGGCCAGTCTTCCTCAGTAAAAAAAAAGAGGAGGATTTGGTAGATGTTAACACAGGGCTGATCTTCCTTACAAAAAAAAAAAAAAAATCAAGAAAGAAAGAGAAAAACAATTTGAAAATATGGATTTACCCACATTAAAATACATTAAAAAAATAAACTCTTACAGTGGGGTAAATTAAAAAAAAAAGAGTTCTGTTTGAAATTAATGTACATAATGACTTCAAATGTTACCAAAGCCTAGATGTGAAATTTAGAGTATTTATGTAATTGTAGCTTTAATGCAGCAGTGAAACCAAAACAGAATTAGAAGGTAAGAGATATTAATGAAAACAGTACAAACAATGCCCAGTGTTTCGCTAAAATGGCAAACATGAGCGCTCTGAGAGGAGCTCTTAGCATCGACCAACCAGGTCAACAACTGCCCAGGCTCTCTCCTTTCACAAGGTCAATGTGAAGTAATGCTTCTAAATTAGATCAGGAGCTTTTGATGAAGAAGCTCCTTGTAAAGTTGGAATGCTTGATACTCAACTGAGCCTCACCTTAGAGCACACCTTCACAGGAGAATGTATGAACCCAGAGACAAGAGTGTTTAGATTGGAGCCCAGCTACCAAGGAGCAGATTGCTCAGAGCTGAAGGTACTATGGTTGCTGGTCACTCTCAACTGGACTTTAGCAAATCCAGGCCAGCATGGAAACAGACTCCGCAGAGAGGCCACAGGCTTGTGGGCAAGAAGAATCTGACCCTCACCCTAAAAAGCTATTGGGAGATTACAGATAATTCTGATTCTCTTATTCTCTGGGGCTGTGCCATTCAATGCGATATTCTCAAGAAACATTTCTGAGTGTCTTCAAGCATCATCGTTGTTAAAGTAGATGAACATCAGGTGGTGGTTAGCATCTTGTGAGGTTTATGTTTCTAAAAATACTTTATCACCTCTTATTCATAAATGCATGATATGATGCTAAGAGGAAAAAGAAGTGGAAATCGACCATCTTAAAATAAAATGCCCACAATACTTATACATATGAAAATCTCTGGAAAGAAATAGAAAATTCAAAATGTTGACAGGAATTCCTTTAGATGTTTGGGATTTGAGGGACCATGTTAGTTGGGTCTTCTGGAAATCAGATGCCAAGACAGGAGTTAGAAGTGAAAACATTTATTGGAGGCAATGCCTGAGAAAGACAAAGGGGAGAAGGAACAGGAGGAGGCAGGAAGAGCCTGCCTGGGTGGTAGGTCTGACACCTGTGAGAGGAGAGAGGGAAGGCAGGAGGAATGAGTACGAAAAGCACTAGACTGAGATGCAGCTCTGGGAGAGTGTTGGCCAGCCCATTGGTAAGATCCAGAGCAAAGACTGCCCCTGGAGAAGAGAGTCCCATACTGGGCAGAAATGGCCAGGTCTTAGTACACCACATGCTAAGTCATTGCCAGTGACTGCCCAGGAAAAACACGACCTTCAAATGCTATGGGAGATCCAGAAGCTGCTGCAGCTGAGGCTGTCAGATGACACTGATCAGCAAGTTCTTCTTGAACTGCATGCCTGTCACAGTGACATTCTGGTTTTCAGTGTTGATTGTAATAAGGACATTTTGCTTGTAATAGATTACTAAAGAATAAGGATGTATAAATTTTAATTATATTTGATTTTTACAACAGTTCTGTAAAAAAGGCACGGCAGGTATTCTTAACTCATTTTGTATTTGAGGAAACCGTGTCTCCTTGGCCAAAATCTTACAGTGACATAGTTGTGGCTGGAACCAAGGTCTTCATACACAACACTCCTATTCATTGTCTACCTGCTTATTGGATCTGAAATTCAATGATTTGGGCTTGGCATGGCCAAATTCCAAAGGCTTTTAATCCCTCTTCAACTATTATTTCATTTTTGGTTCAAAAGTGTCACTTGATACCTAGCCTCAATACAGTAGTGGAATTTTAGCTTTATCTGATTATAGCATCTATGCATTCAAGATATTTCTTTTTGACTAAGTAATTACCATTCTGGATCAATTTATAACTTCCTCATCTTTAATAATACCTTCTGCACTCATTTGTGCACTGCATATGAATTTGCTGCTAGGCACTCTTATAATATTGGAATTATAGTAAATTCAGTGGGAGAAACAGACAACAAGTATACAATAGGATAACCTAAGTTCGTTTCCCATCACGTTGTTGTATTTCCATTTTAATACTTATCACGGAGTGCTTGTGAGTAAGGCCAACATTAGATATTTTGATGAAGCTTATCTGAGATAGCTTTAAAAAGTTTTGAACCAGAAAATTTTAAATTTTTCAAATAATTTACTCAATGGAAAATTCTCCCTCTTGGGTATATGGGGGGCGGTGTTTGAGTAACCACATCATAGCTGAAATCAGTTAAATCTTCTGTTCTAATTGCTATAGAGGAATCAAATTTTACCCCATTGTCAAATTTAGCCCATTGCCATGTGTGTGTACACATACACACATTTTTTATAAGATGGTTTATATTGTATATGATTAGCATATGATTAGCATTATATTCTTATCTATTTTTTTTATCCTGAGTAATATTTGTTCTAGCTAAGCATATTTACATTTTTTGGAACATTCAAGATTTACAGCTGTACTAACTTAAATGAAAGCAAATATGTAATTAAATGCCATAATATTTCTGTAACTGAGTATTAAAAAAAGAAGCTTAAAATATAGTTTAATTTTGTTTGTTTCATGCCCTATTATCTCTAAAGCCCTTTTGAAATCATATTTAGGGTAAATTTATGACAAAATTTCTAGAACAATTTTTGACATATGAGCACTAGCCTATGTTAGATTTGGGGGATAAAGATGAAAAAAAACACAATCCCTGTGATTGAGGGCTAAAAGCCTGGCAGGCAAAATACACATGTAATTAAAATCATGCAGTGCAGAATCATAGATGTGGTAATTCTCTCTCTTGTACCAAGGTGCCTTGGTAGGCAGAAATGGATGTGTTGGGGAGGGTACAGTCAAGGAAGGCTGCTCAGGGGAGATGTTCAAGTGGAGAGCTGAAGGATGCCCCTAGAAGGCAAGCTTTAGGATTACAGACACTTTGTCACTCTACTTTTGAACACTCTTACCTTTAGGGCACTATTCTAGGCCATTCTAGTCACTAGTGAAGCAGTGACTACCTATTGAATGGGTAAGTGGACACAGTAGAGGCAGCATCTATGGGGAAAGGACAGATGATTTATTAAGGGGTTCTGGGGAAAGTGGCTCACCATATGGGAGAAAAATGCCATCATGTCTCTACTTCAAATCATATTTAAAAATAAATTCTCCATGGATCAAATAGCTAAAAGTGAAAAGCAAACTTTAAATTGAGTCTTCTGTTTTCTTCTGATAATTTTTTTGACTGTGGCATAGGGAAACAGTTCTTAAACAAGACAAAAACATAAATCATAAAGGGAAAGATTGTAAGATTCATTACACCAAAATTTAAAATGTTTGCAAAAGTTAGACAAAGTCAAAAAGCATTTAAACAACCTAATATAAGTATGAGCAAAGGATATAAACAAGCAATTCATTAAAAAAACAAAACACAACTCTTAACCCTATAAGTTAGGATGTCCAGCCTTTCTATCATAACTGGACAGTGATGGAATTGACACTGGGATGCTAACAGACACTGTCACAGAATGTAGCTGTCTTTAAGGATAAATGACAGGAAGCCTAATGGAGCAGAGCAGGAGACGGAAGTATGGCTTCTCTGGTCACCAACCCATAGTGCTGGACAATGGACCCACACAGGGAGATTTCAGCCAGAATGCTTAAAGAGAAGCCAGGAGAGTGGGCAACCCCCCGCGAGAATGGCAAGTGAGCTCCCTGTCTTTCCAATAGATAAAAGCAAAAGGGGCAAATGAACCCTAAACCCTTCCTCTGTGCTTGTTGAGAGACTTGCTGAAGCAAAGCGCAATCACCTAGGAGCCTCCCCCCGCACGCTCAGGCTTCATGCTTACCTGACAGCAACTTCCATAAATGTAGCCAGAGAAACGCTAATTAAATAACAATCGTACAGCACTTTTCACCCGTCAGATTGGTCGAAATTAAAGATTCCAAAAATGTCAAAGGGTGAGGATGCAAAGAAATAAAAATTCTCAACTACTGGTTGGAACATTGTAGGTAGGTACCTGACAATTAGCATTTTCAATTGTAGTGTAAGTGCCTGACTTCAGGATTTTGATTGCCAAGGCATCCATTTCAAAGACATCCTCTTGAATAAACACATTGCCAGCTACACAACTAGGTAAAAAGCCAGGCCACCCCACCCAGGAAGCTCCGCTCTGCGTGACCTAGATAACTGACTGCTTGAATGACCCCACTTTTCCCTTCCTGTGCCTTAGTTCTCGCTGTTGTTTTAAATTCACCAATGAAGAGTGAACCCGCAAAATCCTAGGC